GTCCCTCAGGGTCTGTATTTGGCCCAGTACTGTTTAGTATCTTCATCAGTGACATAGACAGTGGGATCGAGTGCACCCTCAGGAATTTTGCAGATGACATCAAGCTGAGTGGTGTGGTTGACATGCCTGAGGGATGGGGTGCCATCCAGAAGAACCTGGACAAGCTCAAGAAGTAGACCCATGCGAACTTCATGAAGTTCAACAAGGCCAAGTGCAAGGTCCTGCACAGGGGTCAGGGCAACCCCTGGTGTCAATACAGGCTGAGAGATGAAGGAATCGAGAACAGCCCTTATGAGAAGGATTTGGGGGTGCTGATAGATGAAAAGCTGGACATGAGCTGGCAACGTGTGCTTGCAGCCCAGAAAGCCAACCATATCCTGGGCTGCATCAAGAGAATTGTGGCCAGCAGGTCAAGGGAGGTGATTCTCACCCTCTACTCTACTCTGGTGGGACCCCACCTGGAGTGCTGTGTCCAGTTCTGGGGTCCTCAGCACAGGAAAGACATGGATCTGTTGGAGTGGGTCCAGAGGAGGCCACGAAAATGATCAGAGGGATGGAACACCTCTCCTGTGAAGACAGTCTGAGAGAGTTAGCATTGTTCAGCCTGGAGAAAAAAAGGCTCCAGGGAGACCTTCCTGCAGCCTTTCAGTACCTAAACAGGGTTATAAGAAAGATGGGGACAAGCATTTGAGCAAGGCCTATTGTGATAGGACAAGGGGTAGTGGTTTTAAACTAAAAGAGGGTAGATTTAGACTAGATATAAGGAAGAAGTTTTTTACAATGAGGGTGGTAAAACAGTGGCACAGGTTGCCCAGAGAGGTGATAGATGCCCCATCCCTGGAAACATATTAAACATAACAAAAGCCACTTAAAAAAATGTAAGGAGAGCAGTGGTGATATTTGTGACCCAGTAAGTACCAGCTGAAGGAAGTATCCTCGCACAGAGAAGTGGAGGGCTGTATTTTGATCTCAATTAGGGATGTATATTATAGTTTCATAGTAAGGTAAGGCTGAGATACTTCTTTCCATATGACTTATCTTGGGTATTTTCTTTGGGCCACATGGTTCCACAGGATATTTTAAATAGCTCTTATTGGGATTTCATGCGCTGGGTGAATAGGGCAGGTCCCAAAAGTGTATTTGAAAGCACTTTCCTCCAGGTGTCAGTTGGAAGTTGGGAGGTAATGAAGGTGGTAGGTGGCAGTGGGCACAGTGATTGTATCTGAAATACTTGCACATTTTGCCTCGTTTTCTGAGGTATTTGTTTGCAAGGTGTAAGGAGCTCATATCATAATCTTTTTCTAAATGGAAGATGCAAGCTATATGCAAATTATATTGATTTCATCTTAATTCTGGGGATATTTTCTTGAGATTTTTTGGGGGAAAATATTGTATGAGAACATCTATCTGGATCCAGCTCAGTGAATCAGTCTAGTGTGCTGTCTGCGGCGGTGGCATGCGGTAGGTGACTCAGGACGAGGATAGGAAGTGAGGCATTTTCTAGGCTGCTCCTTTCCCTGGTAAGCAGCTCTAGCTGCTGGCCATTGGTGTGGTAGAAACTTCCAGAGGCATAAGCTGTATCCAGACCATTCTGGTCAGCATGTTCTTTTGGATGCATCCTCCACCAGTTGGTTTAATCTTTCTGAAGCCATTTATAGTTTGGCAGTCACAACATGCTGTAGGAGCTAATTCTGCATTTAACATGTAGGATGTCCCTGGTTCCTGATATCGATGTAATTCCCACTTGCCTTAGGCTCCTCTGCAGAGATCCTGGAGTGTCACTGCCCAGGATTTCTCCACTTTCCTCCCAGCAGTGTTCAGGTTAAAGCGCTCGCTACTCTACATACCGTGTGTTCGTTTTCTGCACACCAGACTGCCACATGCTGACAAATACCTGCCAGCAGCTATGGGTTTTGTCTTGGGAAATTCCAGGTAAACATGATCCCTCAGCCTCTCGCAGGTAACAGCTGCTAGTTTTGCTCAAAGGGAATTCCCACTGACTTTGATCTGTAGGAGAGGACATCACCCCTGGTTTGCTTCGCTACAGTGAGGTAGCAGACATTAGCTAAATTGTCTGTCAAGGACATGTGATAGCAGTTACTTCACAAGCAGCAGGACAGACTTTTCACTTCTTACCTTAGTCAAGCACACTTTGCTCTTAATGGAGTTCTCTGTCCACCCCAGTGAAAGCACAACTGGAGTCTGAGCCAAATAGTAGCAAGTAAGAACAGGACAAATACCAGCTATTTCTCTGTTATGACCTGTGGAAATCTGCAGGCATGTTGGATTTTGGCCTTTTCACCTTCTAAATTTGCTCTTTGGTGCATGGAAAAAGCACCGAAGCTTTTAGGAGGTCTGCTTTTCATTGCATAATGAAGAAATATCATTAATTAAAACAAAAAAAATATTAGCTGTGCTTACTTTGGACATGATGCGCTGGCCAACCTCCTGGGCTTATTTTATGCTAGGCACTGTAGAAATGTGTAATAAGACTGCTCACTGAAGGGACCTTAACAAACACATCCTGAAAAGTGGATGTAATGAGATGGGGGCTGGATGGGCAGGAAAAGTAAAAGGAGGGAAGCAAATATGGCACGAGGCACATAATTCCTAGCCAGTCTTGTGCTGCAACCTTTTACAATCTTAATGGTCAAAGATGCATTGACCATTTACACTAGCTCTTCCAAACTTTTAGCATCAAAGTTTGGTATTTTGTGTCATTTGTGCCAGAGTAAGGCACAAAGATCGTTTAAAATCATTGCATTCCCCACATTTGGTGTGTGTGTGTCAAACTGGCAGTCACTTAGGCAGTACAGCCTGTCTTCTAAGCATCAGGGAAAGATCTTGGGCATTGTGGGGATTTTCTCTCTGCAAACATCTAATAATGTTGCTCAACGTGAAGAAATACCTCATCTAACACTAGGCTTATTGAGAAAGCCCCAAAATGTTCCAGGTGCTTTCAGAAGATAGGCAGCCAGTTCAGAAATGGGGGGTTTTTGAGTGTGTACCCCAATTCACAATTACTTGTCAGAGGTGCTGTGCTTCCTTGTAGCAAATACTTCTGCACAACCATGCTCTCAGGTGAGAAGAGTTGCTGAGTGCAAATGAACATTTTGAACCACTCCAATGCTGTGCTGTTTATTCTCATTGTATGGACAGACTCTGCCACCATGCTGTTGTCCTTGGCGAGCTTCGGAAGAGGCTTTGCATCATGATTGATGGCCAGGACCACTCTCCAGGGCCACCCACATCTGGGTGTGAGCCTCATCAACACTCCAAGCTTGCTGTGTGACTATCAGCCAGTCACTGTGGTTTTCTGAGTCTCTTTCCCTCTCTGCTAAGATGGAGACAGCAGTATTTCTGCACCTCACAGTGGGAGCACCCTTTATCTCTCTGGGCACGTTCTCTCTGTCATATTATAAACTCTGTCAGGACAAAACCTGGGGGGTTTTATACATTTTCCTGGTGCAGTTGACTGGAGCAGTAGCAGCAGATCCAGCTGTGCTGCTGATGATCCAACAGCCCTGGAGCTGCAGATGGCCCGCACACCCTGCCTCTGACCAGTGCCGAGTGGATACTGCATACGATGCCCTATACATTGTGGTACAAGTTTCTGAAATGCAGAAGCCCACTGCGTGTGTTAATTAGTTTCTTCTATGATCTGAGGACCAATGTGATTACTGGGGAGGTGGCATCCTTTGCTGGGCCCCTGCACTTGCACAGAGGGGTTGTAGCCTGTGGGCTGGGTCTGCTGAAAACTGATCCTCAAGTGCCACCTGCTGAGCATTGGGGAAAAATCCAGCAGAAATTGCTGCCTGTGGTCAAGGCTTCTTCATGGGGGGATCTGAAGCCGTCACCGAGTGCCAAAATGCACGTCAGTAGGCGGGGGGAGATGCTAAATACAGTGTCACTGGGTTTGTAAATGAAAATCAGCCCACGTTTTCAGGTGCCCGAATAGGAACAGGGGTGCTGACTTGAGAGCAATGTCCAGAATTGCTGCTCTGGGGATGCAGCCAAGAACTCCACAAAGTGAGAAAAAAATGTGATGTCGCAGCAGGAACAGCTTATAGTAACCCTTTACATGAGATCATAGAAATAAAGTGCTAGTGTGTTGTCTAACTACAGAAAGAGGAGCTCATCAGGAGAATTTTTAAATCGTAAAGATGCCACTGCAGAAAAAAAAAAAAAAATTGTTTTTCTGAAATAAATCCAGTACCTGCCTGATATAAATCAAATTCAGCTCAAGCACAGTACATCAGTACCTTAGAAGGCTGGATTTTGTTTGGCACCATGATGTTATGACAAACTTGTTGCCGATCCTCTTAGTCATGCTCTTTTTCAACTGACAGCTGGGCAGTTTGAAAAATATACCACAGATCCTCACACTTAAAAGAAAGGTAATACCGATCCACCTAGATCAAAACCTTTTCTAAGCAAGGCTATTTTGCCATGTATGTTTAAAATGCCTAGTAAAATAGGATCTTGTCATAATTTATGATGTCTGAAGTAGTGTGAAGTGAAAAGAAGACTGCTCTGACCTCATTTATTGGTACCAGGTATGTTTTATTTTTTAAAACGGTGACGGAGAAAAAAAAAAGAACAGGAAAAAAATCAAAACAAACAAAAATCCAAAAAGGACAACAACAACAAAAAACCACCCAAACCTGTACTTGTTTCTGCATGGAACAAACCTCTAATGCCACCTGCTGAGGAAACACTGAAAATGAGAATGAATTCTCCAGCAGACTGCTAACTGCATTATTCTTATTACTGATTTATTTTAAAATTTATATTATACAAAAATACTGAAAAGATTTTAAGAAACTTAGATAAGCAACTGTGAGTAGAATAAACTGGGTGTATTTTTAAATACCCAAATGATAGGAGTTTCCCTTCAACCCTACTCCAGATACCATCCTTGTAATCAATAAATGGTCCTATTATTCAATTTTCATTTTCTCTTTCTTCACTCCTAAATTAACCACCGAAAACTTATCCTAAAATACATTTGCATCTTTTAATGTGGAAAGGATAGTTTATTAGCAGCACTGTGACTCCTTAAGGACATTGCTTTAACACTCTGCAATGCAGAAAAAAAAGCCGTTTTCTTAATCAAACCCCATTACAGAGCAAGTGCATACAACCCCAAATACAGCATTTGTCCTTCGCAATAGAACACAGAAATAGAAAACCAGTCAGGCCTGTCTTTGAATATTCTTAAAATGTTTTATGCCAGCATGAACCTGCTGATACCTGAACAGCTGTACTGTGGCACTAAAATGGAGAATCCAGGCCAATTACAGTTTTTCCTGACAATGTATTATAAAATTATTATGCATTATTCAAAAGCATCTTCTTTGCTCATTGTTCACCAGTGACAGAACGTAAGCTGCAGAGAAGGCTATTAAGTCAACCTAAAAACTTCCAATTCTTGTAAAATGTTGGGAATGCAAATCCCAACACAGGCTGTTAGAAGCTAAAAGGTTTTTTCCTCCACATTTTGCATGCACCTATCGCATGCTGCTCACCCTGCAATTATGCACCAACACTGCTGCTCTACAGAAAAGAAACGGGAAGGACAGAACATCATCAAACAGGTGGCACAATATTAAAAATAAAAAGAAATTGTTAACTAGGTAGATTTATCTCAAAGTAAAATATCTCTAAGGTAGGGGCTTGTTTGCATTTTGAGATACAGCATAGAAATAGAGTGTAAAACTAAAATAATCCAGTACTAAGATGAAGCTCTGGCTGCAGCAATAGCAGTTTTTAAATGAGACAGACAACATTTCACAAAGTAACAGGATAAAGATAACATATATATCAAAGTAGTTTAGACATCAAGTTATTAGGTACCTTTTAAAATACTTCCAGATGAGAGGGATGGAAGCAAAAAAGAATTTTTTACCCTGTTACATTTACTGAAAGAAAAATAAACAATCTGTTTGTGTTGTTTATGCATTTACTTCCTGAAAGGGAAAAAAGGACTTAGAACATTCAGGACCCTTCTCATTTAAATGTCTGAAACAAAACACAATAGAAGGCATCAACAGTTTGGAAAACAAAGGCTGTCACTCCATCCACTGCAGACTTCCTGATAAATCCTAACCCCAGTGAGATATAACAGGCCACATCGTTAACAGCAAAGATCATCCAACCAGCAGGACAGAGGAAACCTTTAAACCCAACTTTATCAGACAGACCTACAACACATTAGTGCTCCAATGAAAGCAGCACCATAACCTTGAGGATACTTGCTGGATTAATTCATGAAAAGAATAAAAGAGAATTTACTGAGATTCTTAATATTCACATAGCAGAAGAACTGATAAAATATGTATCTGAGTAATTGATATATTTTGACACATAATGGTTTCGCTTCCAGTTGGACCTTTTCGTTACACTGGTCGCTGCCTCAGGAAAATGGTCTTCCCACATCTGCCTGAATGCAGTACCACTGAGCAGAGACAGCAACACCACAAGTAAATCACGATTTGCTCATCTGATGCTCACCAGGCTGGGTTTTGGCTGGAAAGCGAGATAAATTGAAATGCTTTCCACTTCATTTTCATGCTTTCCATCTTTTTTTTTTTTTTATTTTCTGGGGAAACCCAGCCATAACTATTCTAAGTGACTTCCTAGAATTACTGAGAAGTACAAAAAAATTTCCTAAATACTTGATCTAAAGCATAGCTCTTAGATGATCACAGACATATGAACTCAGACACATCTCCATACCTTACTGGCGCCGTATTTTACTGCATTTTTCAATATTGATGGTACAGCAAAGTAAACATTTCCAGGGCAAAATAAAAAAAAAATAAAAATAAAAAGAACTTAACAAAAATGTGCATTAGTACCTTAAATACTTTAAATAAAATGTATATTAAAATGTAGTTGAAGCTACATACATAGTTTCTTCCATGTTGCCTGGCAATGTTATTTCCAAAATACAAAGAAGTTGGATTTTCTCAGTGTGACAAAGTTGTTCTTGACTACAGTTGACAGAAGAATTATGACAGACAGTGGTAAACAGGCTGAACAGATAGTGGAAAACTGCTGAAACGATGAGTATTTTTTTGCTTTCTTCACAATGTTCACTTCTTAAGTCAACTAATCATCAACATATATTTTGAAACGGAGAAAAGTATCTCAGATGTGGTATTTTAAACTTGTCTTATAAACCTTGATATCTACAGGTGACTAACAGAGGATTTTGTTTGGAGGCTTTTTTCCCCCCTGCATTTTTAAATTTTTTTTTTTTTTTTTACAAATTTGCCTACTCTGTGTGATAAGAATGGAAGCTTCTTTGTAGGAAAGACCATTTAAAACACAGCCAAACACACGCTTGCAGTACACAGCTGCCAAGGAGCTGGTACTAAATGTATGTACTTAACATGATCTTGCTACAAAAGCTGGCGCTCTTCCATTATTTTTTATTGCAGTCCTCTGCAAACTTTGTCCCAAATGCTGGATACCATTGTGATTCAGAAAGATACAGAAATGCAACCGATGAAATAGATGGTGATCAGTTAGCTGGGGGGAGAAGTGAGTGGAAGGCAGAAGTCATTTGCAGGTGAACTTACAGCAATGAGCATACAAATTTTACTTAACCTTGTGAAGTTCCACTGATGTAAACGGCAACATTTTCCCATGTTAAATGAGACCCTATGCAAAGGTATCATCTAGTCTTTGGTTAGGTGTTGACTTGAGAAACACGGCTTGCACTTCCAAGGGACTGACATTTCATATGTAAGCACCATAATTTAATGTCATATTTTTTAAAACACATCTTTTTTTTCTGGCATTTGAGGACCGTTTAGCAGAAGGCACTCATGCAACCTTGTTTTTAGTAGATGGAATAAAAGGTCAGAATATGCTATATGGAGCAGGCAATGTGATTCTCTGTGTCTAGGTCCCTTGCAACATAGGCAGAAAGTTGCAGTTTTTGCTTTAGACACAGCTGACATCATCTCTGCATTGTTATGTCTCTTGTACGTGCACAGCGTGATCTAGAAAGCGAGTTATAATGGAGACAATCCCACTGCAAGGCAGATAGTAAAAGCTGTGCACAAAAGAACAGTATACCGCTACGTACAGCAGAGATACATTGCGTTTCTATTTGTTGTACTTCTCAGTGTGTTCAAATGATTTCCAGATGAGTTTTGTCAGTATAGAATCAAGGTAGGATTTTAAATTTCATTTAAAGGTCTCAAGGTAACCTGGGAGTAAAAATCCCCACATTACAGAGCTGAAGTTGAGAAAAGAATCCCTACGTATGTGAACAGGAGGAATTGCTGTGAGGGATCAGACTACTTCAGTTGAAAGCCCTATTATTTGTGGTGTCAGGTGACAGAAGCTTCAGAGGAAAAGACAAATAGAACTGGTTCAGGTTAGCTGGGGCACAGGAAGCTGTGTGTTGCCTGTATTTCAGGAAATATGAAAACCTTTGGCTGCCACCCCATCCAAACACCTTATATCTCTTTTCATTAACTTAGTATTCTAATGAAAGGTACTTATCTCCCGTATAGACCATTTGGGTCACCACCTAAGTACTCAAACTTTGTGCTGAAGTTTTTTTTCAAGCACATAAGAAAACGTCCTCATTTCTGAGGCTGTCACTGTCCAGCCTAACGCCTGACATGTACAAAGCTTCCTCATCAGGAACAGAGATGCTGTGCTGTGCCAACCTCTGATACCTCAGAGAGCTGGCTGGCACAGCCAAACACCCGCAATAGAGGCCGAGTCCCCCCTTACTCACTTTGACACCCTACCCTCGTCTAGAGGAACCTTTAAGTACTTTGCCACCTCTCTCCATCTATCTCCACAGGTCTGGAAGATGGACGATTTGTTCCACTACCCAGCAGAAAACTATCAGGGGACAGCTTGCTCTTCTGCACCTGAGAGCGCGATGAGGCGAGCAACCTCCCACCCTCCCCTCTCCAAAGTCACACAGAGGTGAGCGTAGCAATAGCTCAGGTATGGCTTTGTGCATCCACAACATACTGAAATGGGTCCCCTTGACTTGAGATTTACTGTATTTACCTGCTTTGCGCTCTGTGCCATGACACAGAGGCATATCTGAGCTGGCATGCAGCTTGTCAAGTTCAACTAGCAACGACCTGCAGTTAGGAATTCAACGGACACAGTCCAGCCAAGAAGTTTCATCAATACGTAATTCTGTTCCAGCCTCTGCTTGAAATGATGGAAACTAAACCCATGCACCACATCTGAACATGAGGTCACAGATTTTAAAGCCTAATTCCGTGCTATTTTAAAAGACAAACAGAACTCTTGCCCTTTGTTGTAAACCTGGTCACATAGTTATCCACAGCAATAGGGAGTGTTAAATGCTTTATAAACAAAATACTTTTATTGGACTAGTACATGGGTTATTTTAAATCAAGAATTAAAATACAGTTGGTATTAAACTCTTGTTTCAGTTCATTTTACTAAATTCAAAGTTACTGTAAATTAACCTCAGGAGGTATTTATCTGGAAAAAAAAACGGGGGGGGCTTTTAAAAATATAGATTGAATCACTTTTTCCTCTTTTTATTTAACATGTTTTGGCAATATAATTTAAACTAGACAACTTAGCTAATAGAGTATAGCACTAAACAAAACCAGAACTTAACTGGAACTGAATATAGACTGCTTTATTGATCTATTCCTGCTTCTGATGTGAAAATTATCTCATCACTGCATTTATGTTTCCATTTTGTTAATTATTTTTCATTAGGCTTTCTGTAAGAGCTCCAAGAAAAGCATCTTGAGTATTCAGGGATACTCCAGGTACCCAATCCAGCTTATTGGGTAACTGCTTCGAAGACCACCCCTAGATAGAGAAATCCCTTCTATTGTTTCTTCTTTTTTTATAAAAGCATCCTAACACTATTGCCCTCTCTGGACACTGGTAGTCACACCCAGCCTGGTACAGTACTCAGCAGTGGAAAAAAAATATATGTGGCCTCTACAGACCACACTGTCACCCGAGTGTTCAGTTACAGTGTTTTTTAATAGATTCATAAAGAAAACAGCTGGCCATAAGCAAAACAAAGAGCAGTCTCTTCTGAAACAAGAGACCCTTTATACAAGAAGCAGGCTCAGCATCCCACTTCAGAACGATGCAGTGGCAAAAGAATATGAGCCTCAACTTATATTTAAAAATGGTAACCTGGCATATATATCTATATATATATCTCCTTCAAGTCCACAGGCAGAATTGTGAATTATTACTATTTATTTTAAATCTCAGCTGTATTAGAAACCTCATTCTGACCTGAGTTCTATTACCCTGATGCTGTGCAAAGAATGCAATGTTATACCACAGCTCCTTTGGGATGCTGTTGTAAGCAAAGTTGGTGCTTTTGTATCAGACATATGGTTAAAAAGGATTACTTCGAATACATTTTCTTTTCAGGGATCCATCTAACCTTTTGGATACTTCTATTTTTACATAATATTCCTCATAGGCTCAATGATGTTTATTATTTTTCTCTCAAACCTTAGTTGTAAGGAGTGTTATTAAGCAATGCTTTGCTCATCAGCTAAACCAGTGACTGTTTTCATGCTCTTCCAAAAGCAAAATAAAATCTTACCTTAGGCCTCTTACTTCAGTAACAAAGGTGCGTCAAGTCAGTCCCACTGGCTCATGTTACATGCGGAAACTTACTATACCACGGTAATTAGATCATTTTTAGCATATGCCCATTTCCTCAAAGGTAGAGGTGGGGCCTGCCTCTATTCTCTTCATCAATCCTGATGTCTCAAAGGTCTTGGCTAGGTAACATGATGAACCTGGACTGCTCTACCTTTTTTAAGGGACAAATGGAGGAAAGGGGGTTCAAACTTCAATGAGTATTTCCTTCCCCCTCCCTCCCCTACCACCAATGTAGGAGCAGTACTTTGATGCAACCTAAACTTTTTGCCAAATAATTTAACCCAGATCAGTAACAGCCTCCTCTAAACTTAATCTGCCATCCAGTGCAAGACTTAACTTCATTAACTTAAATTAATCTCAAGTTAAACAAAATAACCTCTCTTGTATATAGGATTCCTTCTATAACCCCATTACCTGGTAGGTTTCTGTACTTTTTCCTGATCTTTTATTGCTACTCACATGCCAGACACTCTCCTCCCAGCACCTCAATATCTTTGTTCTCAAAAGATTTGTCATGGATTTATTCTAAAATATAAAATTTGATTGTTCATATACAGTCAGCTATTCAGACCAATGTGTATATATATAGCAAATAGGATTTGGAAAACACAGGTTTTCCAACAAATGCTTACATTTCCATTTAGTATGTGAGTACTTCACCATTATACAGTAAAAATATAGAGTAGAGAAAAATTAAATTATTAAAATAATGACCTGGGAAAGAGAAATCTTAGTGTTTTAGAGTCATCTGCATCTAGTGGAAATAGCACATACACATAAAGTTGTTTGTGCTATTTCTATATATATTTCTATAATCTATATATATTTCTACTATAATACAAGACATAATTTTCCAATTTCCTGGAAGAGAGTCTTGAAAGCCATTTACAAACAACTAGTTCCTATTTTCCCCAGAGTAAAACATATGAAATACATGTAGAAACTGGAGTAAGGAGGGATTGTACAGCAGTGCCATTAAAACAGTCAAAAAAAGCACTGATCCTGCAACTGCATCCAAGTAGGCATACACCTGAGCAAGACCGAGAACGGCTTCTCCAAAACGTCTGATCAAAATTCACCAATAAAATCAGACAGAACAGTAATATTAGCTTTTAAATAGCTTAACTGTACACTAAGACCATTGAAAATATCCCTGTTTTATCAATTACATTCCAACAAAAATCATCATCTGAATTACAAGTATACTGCATACCTGCATAAGCACCAAGGTAATATAAAGTAAAAAACTTATCCATCGAATCCCTCTGATAATGGTCCCCTATAGAAATGCAGATTTTTAATGTACATTTAAGTACTTTTGGCAAGAGGTACAGATTCCACAAAAGAAAAGCCACTGCAAAGTCTGAAAAAAATTATAAAACTTGAAAAAAGATCAAAGGCAGAGTATTTTTCCAATGGTCTGGTACATAATAAATTCTGTCAATAAATTCTGGTTTTAGAAATGGCAAAATTCACTCCAGTTCCTGAGATAAACTGCTGATCGGTTGTGATTTACCAGATTGTACCACACTCTCTCACCTTCTTTTACACACTGCAAACAAGGTTTGAACTGAAGCTTCCACTAAACTTACAAGTCAGCAAAGCATGCGAAAGATCAAAACATTCACATTTTCTTTTCCACCATCAAAACAAGAGACTGGCACCTTAGGTCAGAGACAGACAGACTTTAGCAATAGTTTGTCACAGAGGCAGTTATTTTAAATTAACTGCACTCGCATCTTTTAAATTAATTCTTTGTCTCTATCCTCTTTTTCACCGACAACTGTGCTCTTATTCATCCACCTGCTGTTTAAGAAAGCATGCCATACATGAGTTCAGAATCCTAGGGTCGAATTTTGCAAAAGAGCATGAGTCACCTAACAGTTCACCACGTCTCTGATTGTATGCTGGAACCATCAGCGTGCTTCATTATTACTAGCTGTATGGTCAGTTCCTAACTTAGCACTCATGTTGTGCCCCATCCTCTGTAAAACTGCTGGGAGATCCAGAACAGAAGAAATAATATAATGAGGGACCGGGGAGATATCTACGGGGGTGGTCGCGGCTTTGTTTAACCAGACAGTTGCTTTCAAGCCAGCGTTCAGGCCTCCTTGAATATCTGTATCTAGAGAGTCACCAACCATAACACACTCTGCGGGCTGCACCCCCAGGAGATCGCAGCAGTAACGAAATATGGATGGCGCCGGTTTCTCCTCTTTCTGCTCGCCCCCCACAACGATGGCATCGAAGTACGGCTGGCAGGCGCACGCCTCGATCTTCTCCCTCTGCGTCTGCCCGTCGCCGTTGGTTAAGAGCAGCAAGCGGAGCCCTTTCCGCAGCTCGGTCAGCATGTCCCGCGTGTCCTCGGCCAGCGTGAGGTGGCGGAGGCGGGTGGTTTTCCACAGGAAATAGCACTCGGCGGCCAGCTCCCGGCTCACCTCGCCGCCGGTGGTCTCCTGGATCGCCTCCTCCCAGTGCGAAATCCGCAGGTCGGTGATGCACGTCGTGGCGGGGTCGTGACACTCCTGGAGGAGCTTGGCCTGCACCCTGTCGCAGATGGCGCGGGCTTCCCCCTCCCCGTAGCGGTGCTTCGACTGCAGCGCGTTCACCACCTGCAACGGGGGAGAGGCCCGCCTCAGCGCGCCGCGCGCCCCCCCCCTCCCCGCCGCCGCGCCCGTTAACGGCCCCCCCGCGTGGGAGGGCCGCGAGGGGACGCGGGCCGGTACCTCCTCGACGGCGCGCCGCCCGGCCGCCGCCGTGTCCACCAGCGTGTTGTCCAAGTCGAAGAACACCGCCGCGACGCCGTGCGCCCCCATGGCGCCGCCTCTCGCGAGAGCCGCCCCGCTCTAACGGCCGAGACGCGGGGGGCGGCGGCGAGCGCCCCAACCGCCGCAGCAGCAGCCCGTGACGGGGCACGGCGGGGCGGGGCGGGGCGCTACGTCACGCCCGTGAGGCAGCCGGGGCGGGGCGGGCGGGATCCCGGGGCGTCCCGCCGGGGGAGGGGGGTTGAAATTAAGCAGGGCCCTGGAGTGGGGCTGTGAGGAGACACCCCGCCCCCCCCCCCCGCCGTGGGGCGGGGTGCGGTACGTGAGGGGACGGGGAACGGTACGGGAGGGGACGGGGAGCCGCGGAGGCGGGCGCGGCTGAGCCGGGGAGGAGGCGCCTGTCTGAGGGGGCGCGCGGCGCGTGGAAAGCGGCCACACGGGGATCCGAAAGGGGCCGTGGACGTGGCCGCTCGTTTGGCTTTCCGGGTTTCCTTTGTGAGTTCTGGTTTTATTTTTCTCCCTCTGTTAAGGAGCGCTTTCAGGGTGAGAGCTGGCGTCCGACCCGAAAGTATCTGTTGAAACGCTGCCAGGGGACAGCTTTCCCGTGACAAGGTTTCCACACCCGGGAAAGGTTGCGCGGGTGCCCCGCGGCTTTCCAGCCCGCTCCCGGCAGCACCGGCCCGGTCCCGCTCCCTGTGCCGGCCCCGGGCACCGCTGCCTTGTTGCCGTCGTGACCGCGGCTGCTGCCACTGGTGAAGCCCGTTATCACCCTTATAATATGTCACCAGCAAGTTCTCTTCGGGGTGTCGCTGCACAGCGCCCAGAGACGCCACGTACAATGCTGTTTGTACCCCAGAGCACTCCTTGGCCAGGCCTCGGTGAAGAGGGCCCTGCACGGAGGAGGAGGAGGACGGGATCGTACAAGCGGGAGACGCAGGTCGATTTGTCGCGCAGGCACGATGTCCTCCCCGGTTCTGCCGTGGCCGTCGGAGCGTGTCCCGCCGTGGTCACCCACAAGCAGAGCCAGCCACCGTTGCACAGCACCGGGATGATTTTTCCGTGATAAAGGCAAAGCTCCACTATAACATTTTAAAAGAAAACCCGTTTTTCCCATACACGTGGGGGTAATAATTTGTGAATTATGTGACTCATATAATGGTTTGTCCTTTGTTTTCTACAAAATGATTATACATATAAGCTTAGTGTTTTGAACTCTTTGATCTTTTTCTCCGCATCCCCACTGGCATCTGAACGGGTTCCCTGTTGGTTGTATTGGAGCTGTGGGAGAGCTGGCGTGCCTCTTGGGTGCTGGTGGGTGCCCAGGTTGTTCCCTCGTGCTAAGGATGAGACCTACGACTTCCTGCTGTTTTCCTTCTCTCCAGCTGGCTGGTTTCCACCGGAGGGAGAGCTTGCCGGGCTTGTGGCTGTGGGAATCAAAGCACAGTCCGGCAGGTTCTGTGTCTGAGTGATTGGGGGTAGATGTTGAGTGCACACAGTGAAACGCATCTGTTCCATACTTTAGATACAACCTCTGGAAACTAATCCTGGAGATTTGTTTTCTTTCTTGATTCTCCAGAATATATTAATAATTTGGTGGCTGATTTTTTTTTTTTTAATCCTAGTAAGAGATTTACTATGAAGTGCCTTAATGTTCAGTGATACCTATAACATATTTTAAGTTTAAAGAAGGCTTAAACAATGAGAGATGAGAAATTGCTCTCGTGTTGGAGAAAGTTATTTTTTGGCTGAGACCAAAACAGAATTGTGAGAAGTTTAAAAGAGATCTGAGCAGGCTGAGTGGATTGATTAACAACATTCTGTTCTGATAAATGCAGACAATCCTGGCTGGAAGGAAAAACGCTTAAATTACACTTTTTTTTTTTTTTTCCTTTTTAACTTTTCTAAATTCAGTATATGCACTTCAGCGTGATCTCTAAAAAGTAGAAGACCACTTTTGTAAAATCAGCTCTTGCCAACAGAGGAGGAATGTGATGAAGCACCATATAAACAAGTATGTTGATTTTTTTTTTTTTTCCTTAATTTACATTAGTGGTATTGCTTCATTTGGAATGACTTGCGCTTATTGCCCCATTAAAGAATTCCCCCAGATGTAGAATTGGAAGGGTAGAGAAGGGTTGAGGAAGAACTTAGAGAAAATAATACTCAACCAAAAGGATAGCAACTGCATTTACAATTCAAAAGGTGTGAAAGGAAATACTTTGTTATGTGCCTTAACTATGGTTTGGAATTAATTTCTGTGGGAAGCTGCAGAGGTTGAGACCATGGCAGTACCGTGGAGCAGTGGGACACCAGCCCAAGCACCGAGAACATTTGGAGCTGTAGTGAACCCTGGCAGGTGTTGCGAGGCCTGTGAGTGTTGTCCAGCTAGTCGGGGGGGGAAAGGGCTACTAAAAAAGTGTTTGGGTGTATTTGGGAAAAGCTGGGTGTGCCACTGCGCTTTGCTGTTCGCATAGATGTACGCGGTTGCTGCCGGGTATCATCTGTGACAGAGAAAGGTGATGGCTACCCAGGGGCACACGCCGGTGGGGTAACGCTGCGGGGGTGCGAAACGCCCCGGAGCGGCGCCGCGAGTGCCCCGCAGCCCCACGGGCCGCGGGGGGGATGGAGCCCGTCTTCTCGCCGCGCCCCGTGGCCGTGGCGGGGACGGGAGCGCGGCGCCGCCCGCCGTCCCGCATCCGGGGCCGCCTCCCGCCCTTTCGGTTTCGCTTCCAGCCGGGGCGGGCGGTGCTGGGGGAAACGAAACCGGAGCGGTGCCTGTCCCCGCCCCGCCGCCGCGCCGCCTGCCCGAGCTGCGGGGTCCGGCGGCCGCTGCCGCGGCGCGGAGGGAGCGGCGGGGAGCGCCGGTGGGCTGGAGCCCGAGGGCGGCTGGGCTGAAGCCCGAGGGCGGCTGGGCTGAAGCCCGAGGGCGGCTGGGCTGAAGCCCGAAGGCGGTTGGGCTGGAGAAGCCCGCGGGCGGCTGCCCGCAGCCCGGGCCGAGCGGCTGCCCGCCCGCTGCACCTTCCGTACGTGTCCCGGAGCCCGGCCGCCGCCGCCGTTTGAAAGGGTACGTTAAAACGCCTCCGGGATCCCCTCTGAAAGAACCGATTCTAATTCCGTCTGGACAAACGTCACTCATTTTTTATTTATTTATTTATTTATTTATTTATTTATTTATTTATTTATTTTTTTAATTCCTCCACAGGATTCGGTGAATGATTCAGCCTTTTCTCACTAACAAATCTTACATAATCGCCACATTCTCTGCTCTGCTTTCTTCCAAGCAACAGTTGCAGATCAACCACTTGAATTAATAATTACAATTAGTTTTCTGTGAACTTTGTTACTGGTACCAGTTTTCTATCACAGCAGTGGGCTGCCAGGATTAGGGGCTGTGTCAGTGCTGTGCCTGCAGGTACTGACGTATTTTTGCATGTTGCTTTGCAGAACCTTTCTGAGGTTGTGTCAGAATGGAACGTGAGTGCATGGAGAAAATCAACCATTACTGTCAAAAGCAAAAATTTACCCTGGCTTATACTGATGTCGGAATGACTGGCCCATCTCATGATCCTGAGTAAGTTCACTATGCGTGTTGATAAACATCAGGACTCTTCCTGCAATGAACAAACGGGGTAAAGCTTGGAATCATAAAAGCTGGTTTGCTGAAAGTGTGTATGTGGCAGGAGAGCTGGTTGAAACCATAAATTGAGTGGTAGATGGGTGGGGAGCATGTCATATGATGGAGTTTGAGGAGAAACTTTATTTGAGGGATGATAGTCTTTTTTTTGGGGGGGGGGGGAAACAACAACAAGGTAACTCTTACTGGTAACTACACTCTAAGGATGTTATGCATCTGCCATGAAATCTCTCAGGAAGTGGTGTGGATTGCAGCAAGTATTTCAGTTTATGATCTGTGCTAACTGAAGTTCCTTGATTTTTATTTGATTTTGCAAAGCATGGAAATTATTTCTGATTTATGTTGTTAATTTCTAACCACTGAAGTTGTGTGTATATTAATTGTCTGTGTACCAACATATTTTATGTGTAGTTAATTTTTGAACATCTGTTACAGGGTCTTTTGCTTAAGCTTTTTTGCTTATACTTTTAGAGACTCAAGATCTATGATGTTTCCTTCTGTTTTGTTTTTGTTGTTTGTGTTTTTGTTTTTTTTTTTAAATTTTTTGCTAGTTTGCATGAAGACAGGCCTTATGCTGATAATTAGTATGTTTCTTCTAATGTATTTCATATTGACAGTCAGCATTGTCTGTGCTTATTCTTAGACCTCACCATAGTCCTAGAATATATTAATAACATTATCTGGGTCTCAAATGTTAATTGGTTATCTTATTTTTTTCCCCACATTACATGTGGCTCATGTAATTCAAAAAAGTAACCCTTATCATAGTAATGGCCACAGCTGTGGTCACACAGCTACATCTTCGTGCTTCAAAAGTGATGGCGTGGGACTAACAGAATTCACACACATTTCAGATTTACTCATTTATCCCATTTATTTCTGCCCACTTTTCTGTGTGCTCTGTTACATCGACAAGTATAATTCAACCCATTTTCTTGTAAGTGACATGAGGTGTGACAGTGGTATCTAGGAAAACCCTGGATAACTTGGGCTGTTCCAAGGAGTACAACATACAGCGATGAGTGCCGTAAACCTCCTCCAGTGCCCTCGTGCTGTCTTTCCCACTGCTCTGCCTGCTGACAGGATGCATTGGCCACTGCTGGTCCTGAGCTGGCTCCCTAACTCTTCTGTGCTATGTCCCATCTCGTAAGTCCTTCTGCAGTTGTCCGAGGCGTGATGCAGAGACACCTCCTGTCATCTCTTCCCATCCTATCCTGGTTTTGGTGCCGTAGCTGTTTCCACGGCAGTGTCTGTCAGGGTCAGTGCAGAACGCAATGTAAGAAGGTGGAGAGAGCCCAGCCTGGCTCGGTCCTGAGTGGCTGTGAGCTTTCTTGAGCTGGGAATGCACTGTGTGGGCAACCAGGCTAAGTCCTACCTAAACCTGTCAAGTCTGGGCAGTGCTTACTATCTTGGGGTCCATGGTGGGATAAGCATGACTGTACATTTGGGACCAACTTGTGTAACGCTTGTTCAAAATCCTCAACTCAGATAACGAACTCATGGGTCATTGAGTCTCAGACTGCAGTTTTCCTCAGGATGCTTAAATAAAATGCTGAACTTTGGGTGCAAAGTCATGACTGAATGTGTGTAGTATTCAGCACTTAGATACAGGTGGCTAACAAACCTTTCATTTTTTTTTTTTTTTCTATGCTGTTTCCTATGTGTAGAGTATGTGGCACACTGTGGTGTTTACCTCCTTAAGATCTCACTAAGTCTTGCTTACACAATGACTACAAGCAGGCTTCTGCATCTGCATTGTTTTCCACCGAAACATTTCATTAAATGGAAATGGAGAGTGAAGTTGGAATAATGAAAAAAGTGAATTCCTGAAGTCATTCCACTATTTGAAACAAATGGTCCCAGAGAGAAACTCGTGTTACACCTAGACTGTTTCTTTGTGTGAATCTATCTTCTTGACTGAGCTTGCATATCCATATGCTCTGCTGCGATCTGAAGTACAGACATACTCTGATGTTATAATAATGGTCACTTTAACTCAATGGGAGTCTGTGCTGCTGCCAAAAGCAGAAATCTAGTTTTCTTCTCCTCCGTTGCCTTTTGTGCAAAGGTAGTAGCAGAAACACTAGGGATTTTGCGGCTGCAGGACAACTTGGATCTGGGTAGGAGCTGATTTGGCCAAAACCCAACCATCTGCTATTAGGTCCCTGAGGTGAGTTGAGCCCAGGTGGCAGCGAAACCCCCGGCCGGCCACTCACTTCCCCCCAGTGGGATGGTGGAGATGGTCAGAAAGGTGAAAGGGGAGAAAAACGTGTAAATCAAGATAAAGACAGTTTAATAAACGAAGCAAACCTGTATGTGCAACCAAAGCAAAATGAGGAATTCACTCACCACTTCCCATCGCCAGGAAGATATTTAGTCATTTCCAGGCAAGCGGGGCTTCGTCATATGTAATGGTTACTTGGGAAGATGAACATTCTAAGGCCCAATGTCCCTTCTTCCTCCTTTTCCCCCTAGCTTTTACTGCTATGCACGATGCCATGTGGCATGGGATGGTCCTCTGGCCAGCTGCCCTGGCTGTGTCCCTTCTCACGCGCCCCCAGCTTACTTGCTGGGAAGCCAGAGTGGGGAAAAAGAAAAGGCTTTGATGCTGTGCAAACACTGCTCAGCAACAGGTAAAACACTGTCGTGTTACCGGCACTGCTTCAGTCCCAGATCCCCAAGGTAGCACCATCCCAGCTGCGATGAGGAAAGCTGACGCCGTCCCAGCCAGCCCCAGAGCCCGTCGTGGCCCCGCGCAGTGCGCGCACCGCTGTGCAGCGGGGGGCAAGGCAGCGGGGCTCCAGTGTGGAAGGGCAGGACTGGAGTTTTTGTTCGTTGTTATTTTTTTGGGACTGCCTTGAAATTCATGTCTCATGAAGCACCAGACACGGTTTTTTGCACTTATTAAATAGCGTACGTAGCAGTGTATCAAAGGTGAGTGTAATGACATGTCTGGATCCGTGAAATCCAGATTAGCTAATCTTTCCTCTCCATACAGTTTTGCAGTGCTGAGATGTGTCCTGGTGCTGGGGCTTCACAACCTTGCCTGTAGCAATGCTGAATTCATGCATTCTTTTGCTTTAAAAAATGTAAATAATTTTTATTTTTAAAAGCAGTTAGACATTTAAAAATACTGTTAGAACTAATGAAGTACATGCATTTGTGACTAGGGAGGAAATATTTCTACTAAAGCATTATGATAATTAGGAGTTAGATAGAATAAAAACACATGAATACTTAAATACCTCCATAGTTAACTTGTAATGCTTTGTAGACCTCAGATTCAACGTTTTTTTTATTACCTAGGACACAAATGTAACAATGTTTTCTAAAAGTTTCCTTCATTGCAGGTTCACAGTTGTGGTTAAAATAAATGGTGTAGAATATGGCAAAGGCACTGGTAAAAAAAAGAAGGAAGCAAAAGCAGTAGCAGCAAAAAAAACCTGGGAAATGATTGAGAAACAGGTGAGTAAACAGTAGATTTTTTTTTTTTTTTCCCCTAGTAAAGGTCGAAGATTAATCTCTATAAGTAGCCAATAAAATACCAGTTTTCTTTAATTTGGAAGAGTTTCTAATTAATTAAGTTGTCTTTGTTCTGTCTTGCTTGGGGCTTTCCTACTTTTTACCTCTGAACTATTTCCTTAATTGTTCTAGTACATGGTTGGTATCTAATAATGAGAGTGTTTCCTCTCCTGCTGTTATAGGAGGATGAAGAAATGTGTTTGCTTTTGTTAAGCTGCCTTGGTATATCCAGAGTGGACAGTGTTCCTTTTTTCATCTTGGCAACTGTTCAGTAATTCAGTGTCTTCAAAACATTTGCAGGGCATTGTTCAGTGGGTCTGTTGCCACTCTGCTCATAAAATTGCTTATTTTCACTTGATCTGATTCATTTTTGTTTCCTTGACATTATATTATTCACATTATAGCTGATTCTATACTCTTTATCCTTCTTTGATTTAGTTTAGGTTTTAATTCTGCTCTTCTGTTTCCTGCCTGGTGTATGGTAGCTATTTCTTATTTTTCTTTTCGACTCTGCTTCTTAGCACCTTTTGAGTGAAATCTTTCCTTACCTGTTTCCATATGCTTTTTATTGTGTTACCATCATTACTTTAACACAGTTGCTGCATGTTTGCTAATGCTGCCTAATCATGAGACAGCTGAAAAGTCCTGCTTTCCTCCCTTGCACGTGCACAGGAGCATTTGCAGCCCTTGCTAATGGCAGCATCCCGCTGCAATCCCTTTTCTTGGCTCTGGTCAGGCTGTGAGAAAATTCAGAAGGCAGCATTTGCTTGCCTTTTTTTTTTTTTTAAGACATTTCACAGCTCATTCCCTATCTTTTCATAGAAGAGGTGAGAGGAGACATGGTGATAAGTTGTTAAAGACATTGGTGCAATACTTGGAAAACTGGATTTACATTTTGTTGGAAATTCAAAATGTGATAACTTTGGGTTGGGATGGCTGTCCTTTGCCACAAGGGGCTTCAGTAATGCAAACTTGGGATTTCTTAAAACATTTTGAAATGCTGGCAAACCTTGCAGCTGTATTAGATCTTGTGTACTGTTTATCTTATTAAGCTTAAGTTTTTAAGTTACCTATTTTATTTGTTTTGTAGCCAGAGAGTCCTTCAAATACGAAAGCTGCAGAATTAATGACAACTCAAGTGACCTTATTACCTGCAACAGGCAGTGATTATGTCAGCCTACTAAATATATATTCACAAAAGATGTTACAAATAGTTGATTATCCTAACAAAGAACGTACAGGAGATGCCCATGCTCCCAGGTAAGAAGTACTTTGTCTTTGTAATTGCTTTTAATACTTCTTCATGTTTACTAACGCTACCATTAGTTACCCTGAGTAGTGTTAGATTCATCTTTAGAAATACAGTGAAAATTTTGTGGTAGTCTGGAGAGAATCCAGTGGAGGGCCATTAAGGTGGGTAAGGAGTTGGAGGATACAGCACAGGAGGAGAGGCTAAGAGGGCTGAGTTTGTTTAGCTGGGAGAAGAGATGGCGTGATGATAAAACAGTAGTCAGTGCTGACAAATGGTCAGTTATCTTGGTTGTAGCTTTGGCACCTTGGTGGACCTCTTGGCATGTGTTTTGGAAACCTCTAGGAGCCAAATGCCAAGGAGAGCCCGTTTGTGTCTCCTTCTGTATGTGTTGCAGTCACTGAGCTGCACAAATGTTCCAGTTAGTGATGGCTGAAGGATGATAAAGAATATCTATGTGTTTTAACTCTCATGACAATATCTGATGGAAAACTCCTTTCTTCCCCTGCAAAATAAGCCATTTTAAAACCTAATCTGCAGATAATTTGTGATTGTGGCTGCGTATGATATGATGCTTTGAGGAGTTCAACCTTAAAAAGTGCTGAATATTCACTCGCTGAAAATTGGTTGTCTTGAAGGCATGTCAAATTAGTTATTTACTATTATTAGTTAGATTAAATGTCTATTGGGAATACTGTCCTGAAGTTGTATATTTCAGGTTTCCATTCTATAATGTCAATTGACTGTAGTGTTTAGAATCATTAAATTGTCTAATATCCTATATGACTTTATTCTCTGTTGTATTTTACAGGTTTTCTTGTAGCTGTACAATTAGTGGCATTGTGTATGGAAGTGGCACTGGGGCTTCTCTAGCTGCTGCAAAACAAGCTGCTGCAAAACAAGCCTTTGAGAAGCTAAATAAGGAAAACACTCTAACAGTATGTGCTATATTGAGCCTTAAGACAAAAGTTTAATTCTTGTATCTTTAATGTTTGAACAGATTTCCTCATTATATTTAAAAGCATATTCCATCGATTCCACTTAAGAGGGAAACAATCCATGTTTTGGTGGGTTGATTGGGCTACAGGATTCTGTTGGTAAAATTTATGTTGTGTTTCTATATTCAATTGCTGATTAAAAAAACCCCCTCACAGTTGATATCTATGTATTTCAGTATATGGTCTGATATGTTGTAATTCAAGGATGCACATATACCAAAGATTTCCAAACCCTGACTAATACATTGGCTGTCTCCTGTGTGAAGTGTTGTCCAGCTGACTGGCTATGAGCTTAAATCTCTTACTGCCTTCTGTTGGATCAAAAATCTATTGTGAAATATAAGGAAGGCAAAAGCAGGAGTGAGAATCAACAGGTCTTGCCTTCTCTAGTGTTCCAAGGCAGAGTCTAGCAGAGCAATTGCTAACACCATCCTCTGAAGAGCATAGCTGTTCTCTTCATGTCGGCAATCGTGTTTCCATACGTGCAAAAAATTATTGGAATTCTAATAGTGATCCAAACCCACTTCTGAATCGCACAGAATAGTAAATATGAACTAACTTAAACAAAGTGTAGTTTAAAGGGAATTGTTCTTTTTTTTTCTTTCTTTTTCAGATGGGAAGTAACAAATCTAATGGCAGTTCTGCATTTAGTGAGCACAGTAATTCCCCTGAAGTGCCAACTCAATCTGATTTAGAGTAAGTTGGGTTCACTGATAATGTGATACGGAAAATCATTTACTAATCTTAGAGGGTCATGTGATCTAGTTCTAAATCTGCCATAGTTTCTTGATTGCAGTGTAAAGCCATTTCATTTGAGCAAAATTTGTTGTATTTTGCAGTTTTATTTGCGTCTTTACAGGTTAGCTTGTAATAGTTTTAGAGCTTTCTGATATATTTTGCTATGAGTAGTTCTTTCAGAAGCATTTTTACTGTGAAGTAAATGGAATAACCTACTTCATTCAATAGCATTATGTCATGCCATTTTTAACACTCATTTTCCTATTGTGACACTTGTGAACTCGGTATAATTCAATTTCAGTACTTTCTTGTGCTTCACATTTTGCTTTCATCTCTGTTTTTTTGTTTGGTTTGGTTTTTGTTTGTTTGTTTTCCTTTTCCTTTTTCATTCTCCCCTAAAGGGAAAATTAGCTTAGCAAAACAAAATGAACGTGCATAAGGTTTCATTTGTGACTTGGGAACCTTAGATCAAGCATTTTGTGTCTAGCAGTTAATTTGACTGTAGTGCTGCTACCACTTATTTTATTTGTGTGACTGTAAAGCAAGCTGATGCGTACAGTGCTAGAAGTGGCCACACAACCTTGAAATAAACATCTGTATTTAACCTATTGAATTAAAGGATATAATAGAATATATATTGTATAGATATCTACATATCATGACATCATATCATACAAATGGAGGAGTATATTACAAAATGTTTTTGTTTTATTAGCTTTCTAGCATAAAGTTTTGTAGTTTAAATCAATCATGATTGTTAATGCTTTTTCAGGTTTTGTTTTTAAAAACTTAAGTATTTTTTTATGCTTCTTTTTTTCTTGTGGCAATCATTTTATTTAAGATTGTGTTCCTTTCACCTAAAACTAGTGTATTATTTTTCAGTAACAGCAGTATTTGCTTTGAAGACTCAGCTCCAAAGTTAGGAGAAAAAATGAAAGATGTGGCAGTATGTCAAAAGCCTTCACCTCCTCAGGTACAGTATGAAAATTGTCTTCCTCATAATTACATTTTAGACCTTGAATAGAGCAACCTTCTTGCCAGAGTGTAGCATCAGTTTGTTCCTTTATCCACGAATCACTAGAAAACACATGTGCATTTTTCCTAAGAATATTCAGGACTTTCTTACTATTAATCATTAGTAATTTACTTCTGTACTGTGGACCCAATTTATGTACTGTTGACCAAATGGGCAGTACTCCCAAGAATGGAGGTCAAACTAAGTTTGTATTTTTCTGTGGGAAGAATAATGATGTTGTACATAGTATGTGAAAAAAATTAAGCTAAGACATGGCTTCATTCTTATTACATTGTTTATATAAGGTATGAACACATTTATAGACAATTCCTAGATAGATTCTCAGACACATTTTAAACTAACTATAGTGAAAATATCCAGGATATCTCAGTTAGGGTTTTTTTCTCTTTTTCATGTAGAGAGATGCACAAGGTTCTGCCTTGAAATCCAGAAGGTATGTGTTTATTTCCAGGTTGGTATCTCCTATAAGCTATATTGCAAATCACCTTAGTGTTTCTGTATCTAGCAAAGAAATGCCACTATTGGGAGGTACATTTCTTTTTTCATGTCACATGTTGGAAAAAGGGCTTATTATAAGTTTTGCTTTTGTCCTTGTTAAAGAAAATTGGCAGCTAATTTGTATAATGCAAGAAATAAGGAAGAGAAAAAAGAGATGTTGGATTCAGATGAAAGTTTGTCAGACTGGGACACAAATACCAGTGAGGAGAATGGAAGTCCATACACTGTGAATAAAAGGTAAGAAGGACTTTTTTTTTTTTTAAATATGAACTGTATGGCAATTACAGTATGTAGTGGTTTAGATTTTTTTGTTTATTCATAATAGAATGTGAAAAAATACCGCTGCAAAAATAACTTTCAAAGACAAATGATATTTGAGACTTTTTTTTTTTTCCTGGAAATTTCAAATACAGTATAGCAACTGATATGCGATTATATTTAATACCTGAAACCAAAAGTCATTTGTGTGAAGATGTGAGGGTAATTACCCTCTATGTTTTCAAGGGTCAGTTTCCATTGTTTTTTTAATCTTCAAGACTACGATTTAAGCCTGTATAGGTGCTGAGTGATCCCTGTAGAATATTTCAGCAGATGTATTAGATCTGTCAGCATCATTTTTATATCTTGTAAATGTAATGTTAAGTATACTTAAGTTATATATCTATTTACATGTTTTTTTTGTTGTTGTTTTGGTTTTTTTTTTAAGATTTCTTGAGAGTTTTAAAAACATAGAGCCTATTGGTGAAGGTGGTTTTGGGAATGTTTTCAAAGCAACAGGGAAGCTTGATGAGAGAGCCTATGCAGTCAAACGAGTTCACTTCACAAAGTACGTACCGTATGTTTACTTCTGTTATTTTAGGACAACCTTAATCAACATTTTAGTCCTTTGTTTTGTCTCTTTAATAATCCTAGGAGTATTTAAGCAATTTGCATTATTAATTGTCCATTCTTTCTGGTGAACTGCTCTTTGTTTCTAAGTGAAGCTGAGAATGGCATGCAACTTTGTTAATTTTTGCATGCACTGGAATAATTTCAGATTCAGCTGTAAAAAAAATGTATTTATTAAGTTCTACTTCCCCTGAACACACGAGTGCTCTGGTTATTAATGTTGCAAAATGTGTTTGAAAACTTGCTGATTAATAAAACATTGAAAGCAGCACTGTTACTTTTGACAGGTTACATGGAAAACTTACATATCAGTAACATAAAGACTATAATTAGAGAAAACAGAGAAAAATGAAAGCAATACCATTTTGTGGTTTGTAATTGGAAAATGCTTTATATATGACCCATGTAGTCATTATTCTCACACTGTGTTACTTGTCCTTTATAAATCTCAGCAGAGAATGATGATCTTAATTATTTTTTTTTTCTAAAGTGATTTTCTGTAACCAGTACCTAGTGGAGTATTTTATCAGCAGCTAAAAACTTGGATTTCTTTTAGGTAATCTATTAAAAAAGTTTCAGGTTGTTGGAGATACTTATCTCTTACATTGTGTAACTGCCCTTCAAATTCTTGTGTTCTTCAGAAATATATGCTATTTTAATTTGTATTGCAGTCCTGAGAACTATACTAAAAAACATTCTACTGATTCTTCACATAAAGGCTGCTGGTCTGCTGATGGGTTTGAACTTACTTCACTAGGCAATGTTACAACAACAAGTGCAGGCCACATTGAGTAACAGTTCTTCATGAGTATTTATACAGGCCTCTGTATGTAAACAAACTTCATAGAGGTGAAAAGAAAACATGGGTGTTTGCTACATTGTGTTTGACTACCTAACACAATTATGCACTGCAACTATATCCCTTTTTCAGCTTTTTCTGAGTGGGGCTTTAATTTCTAAAGTGGTTGAAACATTTTTGCACTTTGAGTAACTGAGAAGATGAAAGGAAACCCACAGAATTTGTAACTACAATTTTGAAATTGTGTTAAGGAGAATATGATGTTTTTTCTAAATTAATGTAAAACTATCTGTGTCCTGCTACTTGATAGTATGTCTTTTATTTAACTTAGTATTACATTTTCATAGGGAAATGCCATTTTGGGTTTTTTTTCCATTTTTTTTTTTTTTTTTTCCATCCAAATAGGAATGTAAGGCGTGAAGTAAAAGAACTTGCAAGACTTGACCACGAAAACATAGTGCGGTATTATTGTAGCTGGAAAGGGTATGACTGTGTAACTTCTCCAAACTCAAGGTAACTACAAGATGGTAGTTTGCACTCACGAATTTGTTTGCTGTAGTGAATTTTGTGTTGTAAAAAGAAAGAATGATTACTGGTTATAAATCATTATACAAACATAAATGCATGTATAGACTTACATATTTAGGAAAAAAAGCAGTCCTTTTCAGCAGCAGGTCATATATAAAGTATATTTATATCTTACTTTATTTGATGAATAAAATACATTATGTAATTTTATTTTTCTCCTCTCTCTTAATATACAGAACTTGCTGAATCTATAGAGGAGTGTACGAACTCAGAACTCAAAGTTTGGGCTTAGAATTAACAACAGAAACTAAAAAATTGTGTGGCAGCTGGCTGACAAATTTCTGATTGAAAGCTTCCTTTTTTAATAAGTACTGGTCAGCCAGTTGCTCTCACAGAGAAATAATTAAATCTAAGTTAGCAATTTAACCATGATGCCTGAATTAGTTTTAGTTGCTGAGATCAGAAATACAGAATAAAATGTTCTTTCATTTAGAGGTAGTTTTTCAACACTAAGACTTCTGGGAAGACAGTGGTAAGAGTTTTAGATTATTAACTTTTCAAAGTTTCTGTGGTAAGCTTTTTTTACTAGCTGTAAATTCATACCCTTCAGATACTTTGCCACACTTATCTAGAGCCATAAAATATTAATGGATGCAAAATTATAGTTGCCATGGTATCTGTCCAGTGTGCTCAGTAAATAAGGACTAAAACAGTGGGAAAAAAGTCTCATGTCAAAACTCATCCATTAATGTGTTGGAGTCTCAATATCACTTATGCATTTTATATTGAACAGTATTGGGTAAAACACAGGAAAAAAAAGAGTTCTCAAAGCTGAGGTCCCAGCCTGGAATTCCACTTAGTGCCCTGGCCTCCAGGCTACAGAGAGTCCTGAGCCACTTGATGCTTGTTCTTCCAGTGCCTCAGGCAGCTTTACTCCAGGGCACTGGGATCACACAGTGCAAGGAGGAAAAAGTGGTGCCACCTCCTCTTCATATTGTCCTTCCCCTCACCATCTCCAGCCTCAGCCTACGCTATGGGCTGATGGTGAGGGAACTTTTCTTCCAAGTGTGAGGCTGTCAGGTGGGTGAATATATTTCATCTAGATTCCCAGCTGTCAGAGGGTTTCTGTAACTCGCAGACTGATGTCAAAGACGGTCACTGCACTACCTTCTTGAAGGGACAGAGCTTGAAAGAATGTGATCACGGAGGGTAGGAGAGGAAAGCAAATGCTGTGTTTGAGCAGAATAGAGAACACCTGCCATGGACTTGCAGCAGTTCCTAGAGGGCAAGATGGGAGCCAAGGACAGTGCCAATTCTTCCTGTATGGGACATGCCTCTACACATGCGGGGAGCAGAATCTGGGCACTTGGAAAACTTCCAGTGTGAACAAGGAAGCAAGCAAAACATTAGCAATATTTCAGGGCTATGCAGCAACTGAGCAGAGATTCTTTGGTTTGCAGTTCTATTTATTTATATCTAGTACAAATTGGTCTAGGACATTTTTTAAAATCAAGGGATTTACAGACTTTGGAACTCCAATAATAATAATAATAATAATAATAATAATAATAATTAGAAGAGGAACATGAGAATCATTGATGGCTTGGGATGAAGTATATCTTGCCAATTTCAGTATGGTATGCGATTTTCTTTTGCAGGCAGGAGTCAGGCCAAGAAGTTATCTGTCTTTTCATCCAAATGGAATTATGTGAACAAGGGCCACTGGAAAACTGGATTGAAAAGAATAGACAAGACCGAAAGTATCATGAAATGGCACAAAACAAATTTTTACAAATACTGAAAGGAGTGAAATATATTCATTCTAAAGGGTTAATTCATCGAGACCTCAAGGTAAGTAGGATGGGTAATTAAAGAAAAAAAAAAGATAAAAATAGTCCTTATTGGGATTTCAGAAAAGTGAAATTGTTCTAGTCTTTGTTTAGCCTATTGTGTACCCTAGTAGTGTGCCTCTTCTGATATTGCTAGTGATTCTTTTTTTTTTAGCAACTGGCTGTACTTCATCCTAAAATCAGAAAGTAAACTGGAGGATATCAGAATGCAGGAGTTCAAAAAATCAGTAGTCATCAGTTAACAGGCATCAGTGTATTATATGTTACTGGGTCACAAGACTGCCTACTGGAAAAATAAATACTAACTTTACTTGATAAAATAATTAGAAGAAAGAAAGGGAAAAGTTGAGTCTAGCAAGTTTGCTCTTGCCATATTGTATTAGGATAAACTATCCCTTTACGTGCTGTGTTAGGTAACAACATACTCTAGTTGCTCTTGTATCATGCATGCATACGAATATTTGAATGTTACTTTTTTGGGTAGAATTTCAGTCTCTACAAGTGCACAATTATAAATAAAAAATATTTCAAGATAAATATTATAAAGGTCAAAGTTGCAAGCTGTCGAGGCCTTATATGTCAGCTACAATGTTGCTTACAGAGTTTTAAATCACTTGCTTTATGAAGAAGTCATCAGTGTGGTGGTGTTCCTAAAAACTGCTGTAGTGGGTCACATTAAATGTTGATCTAGGATGCTGTTCTCCTCATACAGTGACTAATTCCAAACACCTAGATAGTATTAGAGTGGAGAGATGATACAATGATTCTGTCCTTGATGCATATTCCCTTCTTCTCAAGATTTCTAGTAACCTGAAATTTATGGGCTTCTTGAGCCAGAGAAATCTTTCACATTTTGCATTCACAGTGTAGTTCCAGATCACGTTCACTGGCCACTTATAAAATCTTCACATCTTCTAAAGCTTTTCTATCAGGATTATTGCTACAATACTGGAATGAACCACAAATACACGCTCATAAAATAATGATTTCCTTAGATGCCTGGGAGAGGCCTACTTAAGAGCCTTCTCACCCATTAATTCTTAGCTCTTCCTACTCTGTGCTTTGTATTTTCTTGCTCCTTCTGTCCTACTTTATTCTCATCTCAGCTCAATCTCCTATTTTTCCCCCTTTCTATGATTCTGCTGCCCCAGTCCCTTATGCATGGCATCTGGGCATTAACGTGCTTCCAAGTCCTATTACTAACTTGTCTGTCTGCATTTGAATTAATGAACTTTTCTTCCCACTTTGATCTGCTTTCAACTTATACGTTTGGCCATCTGAGATCTCCATGTCCCAGGACAGGTTCAAGCTGGTACGAATATCATTTGTGCCTGGTATGAAGTCTTTAACTAATGTAGCCAGGTCTAAGTACTGTATTAAACGTGTGCGACATGGTCAGACTTGAACAGAAGAATTGACACAAAGATCTCTCCTTGTTTAATATAAGTCTCTCGTGGCCTCACAGTCCACTGCAGCTTCTTTGAGTAAAAGATAGCACGAGACTATTGGTTTCGTTTTAATGACATTCAGATATGTAGTTTCTTTATCTTCTTTGGGAAACTTCATCCAAGTATATACAATTCTATTTTTAGTTGCTCATGACTTTGTTGAATTTAAAAATGGGAAGTTCAATAGAAACTTAAAAGTGATGCTGTGAGATGGCAGCAGTAAGCCCTAACTCTGCAACTGACTTAGTACAGATATCCCGCTGTGCCTAGGAGAAACTATTTGTGTGAAATTCCATGTAAGCTTAAATGCTTTGCCCGAGTATATCAAATCCCAGGGCTAGGATGGAAGACTAAAAAGCTCTTCTGCATTTGAAATGTTATATGCACAATGTATGTGAAGAACCTTAAAGCATAATACAGTTATGACTGAGCTAGGGGATGAAAAAAATGTTGCAGTTACTGTGGCATGTACTGCTTTAGTGTGTTTTTAAAAATTAATTGCACTTTTTTGTATTTCCTACCCCATCGGTTTCTTAATGCTAATTTCTGTGAGCAATTATCAAATTTTATGGGGAACACTTCTGTGGCTGATTATGCTTGACAATGAACCTTGGTCATAAGGTGATTTTTTTTTTTTTTTTTAAATATATATATAGCCTCAGAATATATTCATATCACACGAAGATAAAATAAAAATAGGCGACTTCGGTCTTGTGACTTCTGTGGCGTATGGGACTCTGACTGAGAACAGAGGAACAAAATCATATATGGCACCAGAACAGGTAATTATCCTGCTACATTAGTGTTTCTGTAACTAGATTTGCATTATAAACTCAGCATTGGATGTTCTCAATCCTGATCTCAGTCCTACATCAAGTTGCCTGACGTCCCCTGGTATGAGGATAACTGTATCACAGAGAAAGCTGTCTGCAGATGTGGCAATTTTATTTTGCTGTGCTAACCTACAGGGTCTGACACTGCCTGCTGTAAGGAATGCCCTTGCAAAACCAGCCTGCCAGCCATGTATTTCAATATAAATTTAGGACTTCTGTTAACTGGGGCATTTGAGTCCTTCTATTTGGTTCATAATTTGTGACTGATATTGAAATGCCTTATCTGTATGGGTCTGCAGAAGTCTTACTATAAGTGTTTAATGTGACACGATAGTCACTATTTAACAGGTCTGTAGCAGAAAGCATTAACAATTAATAAGATCAAAGTAGGGCTAGTCCTGTGGCCGTGGGGTGGAAATTTCTACTGACTTCAAATTTTGCTTTAAGAAGTGCTGTCCAGTTGGATTTGATGTCTATATTTTTCTTGTTCTAATCTTTGTAGTTCGGGGACACATATGGAAAAGAAGTAGATATTTATGCATTGGGATTAATTTGGTTTGAAATTCTTTCGGCATTCAGTTGTCATGAGAAAATTAAGGTATGTAATCTTTAAATTTAAAAAAGTCTGTCAGTGGTTTGTCTTGCTGCTGGTATTGCATGCTGACTGCATGCTAGAAGGAACCTGTATATCTAGAGTACTGTCTTTGTTTATAAAATATTTTCCCCCTTGATTCATTTCTGTAAGGCCCATAAGTCCTCACACCTGGGTTGAAATGTAATAACTGAAGAGAAAATTACTGGTTTTATCTCATCTATGTTCTACTGAGATACACATTAAAGCCTGAGCATGCTAACGAATAATATCTAGCAAAAAAGATTTCAAGTTTCTGATAAATCTTTTTGTTTGATCAGAGTATTCGAAGGGACTATTTTTTCTAATCTCAGAAAATAAAAATTATGAATGGGAGAGTTTTGTTTCTGCCATGTTCTTGCCTTCACTGCACAGTGGACCAAGAAAGAAGTTTCTATCAACCCTGAACACTTGCAGTTTTCCAAAATGAGAACAAGTGATTTATAATACATAGCTTTAATTGGAAAAGATGTTACTTCAAAAAGAAAACCAGTGCTACTTAAGCTTTTCTTGAAAAGCTCTCTCGTGTCTTTTGCTTTTTCTTGGTACTTTGCACATTAGTGTGCACACACCTACATAATTGTAGCACATATGCTCACACCTACATATTTGTGGCACAGTGATGTAGCTGCCGAGTACCTTGTCTAAAGTAATTGTAAGATAGATGTACATGGTTGGACCCAGAAGCTCCTGAATGCTGTTAGCTTGGTCCTTTTGCCAGTATGAGAAAACCATACTGATGGGTCTGCTTGACTCACAGGTTCAACTGGGCTCTGTTTAGCTACCTTGGAGTATTTTCTAAGACATTTTGTTCCTGCTCACAGTTGACTCTGCGAATGTGTCCACAGTCCCATGGTGCTTACAGTCAAAAGAACAAGACCAATTATTTAGTCTTGTTTCCTTTAAAGCATAAAAATCTCGTGTCTGTAGGCAGGTGAGAAGGTCACATGGATGGAAAGTCCTAGGATGGTCTTCAGCTGCTCCATCAGCTTATAAAATAATTTCACTTAATAGAGCATGATAAACTCTGTGGGGTGCTGGCAAGCCCTGCTGAAAGAACATCATGCAAAAGTGACGCTGATGATTATGAGCTGAGTAAGTGGTTCAGCTGATGATGACCAGCAGGTAGGGTCACAGGCCTAATGCTACTGCTGACAAGTAGGGAAAAAGCTTGAAGTTGATGGGAGCTGTTGTTTTACTGGATACTGCTTATAACGAGAATGATTCTGAAATGGAGACGATTGCTGAAACAAACACATCATTTTTAAGCTTAAAAAGGGACAACAGTTGATGAAAAGACCACAAAAAACAAAAAATAGAATTAAATGGAAAAAACTTTCAAACTGTTTTTTTGTAGATTTGTGCTTTTCTAATTACTTCAGCAAATGATATGGGTCATAAAGTGAGATGCAAATATAATCAATGAAAACATACCAAAACTCTTCTCTGTTATGAATTTCAGGTATGGCCTGATGTTAGAGAAGGTCAACTTCCAGAGAGCTTTACCAACCAGTTTCCAACAAAGGTATGGGGTTTTAATACATTATTTCAGTTAGTTTATTTACGCATAAAAAATAATTTATTGACTTTAATTTATTCTTGCAGGCACCCATAATCAAAAAGATGCTTTCAAGAGACTCTTCAGGAAGATACTCTGCATCTGAAATACTTGCATTTTTTAAGTCTGTTGATAAAAACAACGCACTGAAAACTCATACTCAGTAATTGCCCTTTTAAAAGGCTTTCAGGTTGTGTTTAAATCCAGAGTTTCATATTTGTTTGATGAAATAACAGTAACTGTCAGAAGCAACAGCAAGACTTAGGATATGTCTTTTTTGTGGTGTTTTGCCTTCCTGCCATTGAGGAGCTCATCAGCCAAAATGGTCACGTCACCATTCACACCCATCAGCTGCAGACCAGGACAGTGTACTTCTGCAAGCAATCACTTCAGACTTTTACCTGGAAACAGAGGCTGTGGATGAGCTGAACTACATTGTACAACAAGTACAGGAACATAGTCCTTGTCTCCTAGCAGATTAAGTTGATGTGGTGCTAACTGCCCTGTGGCAAATACCTGTGTGCATGCTCTTAACATGTGCTGCATCCATTATCAGTTGAGGTTACCTATTGTTTTCCACTGAACAAGTGCTGTCTTGTGGTATGACTCAAATGTTTCTGATTTGTTCAGTGATGTTTTTAATAATTACTAGTATGTTCCAAGTAACACTAAGATGAGTTTTTGTAGAAAAGATGCGAGGAATAGGTGGGGGTTATTCTTCACAGAATTTCAGTTCCTTAAGGTGAACTTTTCAACACGCCTGTTGAACACCTAGCACCTTCAATGCTCTAGAACTTAAAAATACATACTTTTAAAGCAAGCATTCCTTGCAAAATTAAATGTTAAGTATTCAGCTTCTAGAAAAGCTAGTTTAGATTTGTTCTAAACTTTTGGAAACCTTAGGTGTTGAGTTTTTGGGTTTCTTTTTCTGAAAGGAACACTTAAGGTGCTCTTAATATAGCAATATTCTCCAGCTTCCTGGGTAGTAACCATTTGAAATCCTGTGCTGAGAGAGCACCTTAAATGTTCTCTCCCATGCCGCTAGATTTTAGCACCTTATTGTAACACTGAGGCATATGTCAGACCCTTAACAAGCGTACTGAATACCTCTGACTTTACTGTCAGACCAACAAAAGGTAACAGCAATTTGCCTCTTACTCTTTAGTGATATACTTCAAAAACTTTAGACTTGCCTGGACTGAAAGAATTGTGTGTGTGGTGGTGGGGAGCAGGCAGAATAGAAAGGCATAGTAGTCCTTCAGATGCTTGTCTCTGAGCTGTATCTTGTCAAACTATTAATTGCTGTGGAGCCCACATAGCTCCATAAAGGCAAATGAGCAGATACTTCTGAGCAGGAAAATGGGTATTAAGAGTAGGTACTGGATGCTTTTTCTGAAATGTTAAATTGGTTAAAAGTGAGTGCTTGGTTAAAAGGAATAATATAAATCAATGCACAGTAATTTTTATATTCTTACGGTAATTATTGCTGATCTGCTGCAAGTATTTGTTGCTAAGTAAGAACCTTGTAAGAATACATCCATTTGTAAGGCCTGAAGTTACTTTTTTTCTCCTTATCATGAGTCACAAATACATAATGCATTTTACTATTCTGGACTAAATAGTATTTCTTCGCAGTAGTCAACATCTGGGAGAAACGATATCCTGACACAGACAAAATACTGCTAGTTCCTCTTCCCTTTCACCCAGAAAACTACTCTTAGAATATGAAAATTGATATGTGACAAACTTTGGCTGAATATTCTTTACATTTCTTGGACAGAGCAGCCACAATACCATTACCTTCTTACTGTTAAGTAATACTGAGCTTGTCCTAGTAGTTTCCGATACTTTTTTTCCCACAGTATTTGTATACTTCAGCAGGACCTTTCTATTCATGACTGTTTTCAGTAGCAACTGCTGTTCTCAAAAAATAAAACGTCTATTAAAATGTATTTTTTAATCTAAAAAACGCAACATCATCATGATCTGGTATGATTTAGTTATGAAAACTATGCACCTTTACATGCAACAGAACATTGGTTCAAATAATGTCACTGTAATGCTTCACAAGTTTTTTTTCCCACCAGGTTAAGATAGTAAGGAAAAGAAGTCTTATGTTTAGTCGTCTTGGTAAAGATAAAAAAGCCTGTTTAACACATTATACAACGGAGTAACTAGCCAATATTTATTCCCTTACTCGAACTTTATTATCAGCTCATCTTGTTCAGTTGGGCAGGGCATAACTGAAGATTGTGGAAGACTTAACCTGACTCCCAATTATGGTAGTTAAGTTAAAAATGTAAAGATTTAATTCCTATTAAATTGTGCATCAAGCAGAAAATCTGTAAGATGCTTCAGAAATGTGAGTTTAACCTGTCAACATAACTATTATTCTGCATACTTTGGTGTGAACTTGTCAGCTAGCCCAGCACAACTCTGAACCCTCTCAAAGATACTATGAACTATACATACTTATCTAGGGCTCCCTCCTTTGGAAAGGCTTTAGTCATGATCTGCAGCAGTGTCTCCAGGGCAGTTTGAAGATAAATCTTCAGAGTCTACAGGATAAGCAGAGAAAAATGTGAGTAATTCCATTTCGGAGGAAAAAAAAAAAAAAAAAAGTTGCTAGAATTATTTGAAGAATCCATATGAAACAGATTAAACAGAAGTCAAGAAGGGTTGCAAGTTATTAATGCCAAACTTCGTTTTAGAATGGTGAACACAAATTCTACCCTCTTTCACGCAGTGAAATGAGACAGTGTTCTATTTCAGAAACACCTGCAAGCTTTTGCAGCTTTTTATGGTACTACTTTTAATATTTGAATTTTGTTTTCTCTAAACAAAATTAATATGAATACTAAATCAAAGAGGTGCCAGCATAGCTAGAATTTTTTTTTTTTTGTACATGCTAACACCTAAAAATTGGCTTATAATCAAAATGTACAAAGCTTTGTGAAAGAAAACAGCAGCCTAGAAAGAAAATTTACTACGTAGATTTAAAAAACTGCAGTAAGAGAAACATAATGAAGGATATATTGTACTACTTGAGTCTAGCTGCATAAGCAAAGTAAAACGCTTACAAGACAGGTTTAGTTTATTCTCACCTTCGTAGGTTGTTCCACACCAAATGCAATAGAAGTGGTGTTCTCTCAAATAGGCAGTCAGGATGTACAGCTTTTCTGATACCTAGAGATACGTACAGGTATACAATGATCTGGGGCTCACATGACATAAACCACTCTGATCTACTAGTTTTGCTGAAATATGATTTTTTAACCTTTTGCTATGGAAAAGATACACATTACTGTAGCTCTGTAAGGCATGAAGTTTCCCAAAGTTGTAGCACACAGAAAAGGAAATAATGATCTCTGGAAAGTTAATGGCTGTTGTTTGCTCATCCTTCTTTCCAGCTAAGAAACCTGCACTGAAGAAAGAACTAAAAATATTACCTTATTTCAAATATATGATATTTTAGGGTGGAATTTCTCACACCTCATCTCTGCAAATCAAATGCATAAGGCTAACAACAGTGCTGTACTCTAGTTCTCAAAAAATGTGAATTTCCAGTGTCCATCTTGAGATAATCTGATACATTTTCAGAAATTACTTGGTGATTCTAAAATTCAGCCTAAAACATGAGATCAGGCATCCAAAATTAAAACTCAAAAGCAAGTAACTTTAATCAAATATGTGACCTTGCGTAGCTCGGCTAAGACACAAAAATGTATAGAATTTAATTTCTAAGCTGATTTTTCCAAAGATCAGCTTCAAAACAGATGAGCAATGAATGAGTGGTTTAATGCTTTATATTTTATTGTGTAACTGCTACAAAATTCACTGCTCTAAGACTGCAAAAAGGCCATTCGCTACAGCTTGGAAAATGACACGTACGCACATATCCTTTATACATGTATGTATGTACGTACTTTTTAAAGGAATGTTTAATTCAGAATCAAACCATTTATTTAGTTGCAGGGCTTACACTTAAGTCTGAGCTTGTACATTCATCTTCCTTGTCTTCCTCATCCTTTTTGTCGTCTTCTTCAGGTGCTAGCCAATACCAAGTCTCCTTGGGAACATCAATATCCTTAAACAGTGAAGGATTTAAATGAAAATTACCTGGCTTTATAGGTTTTCTTGTAAGATGCTGGATAAAACAAATTTCTAATAGGTGAGATGTTAGGTATTAAAACCTTCCTGCATGCTAGAACTGAGAATTACTAAAGCTGTTGTGGGAAACTAAGTACAACAGTCCACAAGAAGGATTATTCACTCTTTTTAAAGCAAGTAAATGCATGCTAATATTATATTCTCCTCCATCTATGTTTGGCATGTGTAAGGCTACACAGCAACATAACCTCACACCAAGCCTGTGAACCGATACCCTTTTTTACCAGTTGAAGACATGTTGCCCCAAGTTACTTTATCAGGAGATCACACCATGCTTCCTAGTCCACCTCAGGTAAAGTTAAAGGAAGAAGAGTCAACAAGGATGATCTAAGGTAAGTCTGCTTCAAAGTCAGCTGAATAAGGAGTATCAAACAATCAGCAGAACTTGTGGGGCAGTATTAACCTCTAACAGGTTAACAGAGAAAAATATTTGAAGTTTTCAAGTGGCAAAAATTTAAAGTAGGTCACTGCTATTAACCATGTTATTCCTTGCAGGTGGAAGGTACTTTGTTTTGGGTTTGTTTTTTGTTTAAATGCTTATTTGGTGAATCTGCTGATTCCCTCAATGATGATCCCCATCCTTGGAGATAACCAAAAGCTGTCTAGACCTGGTCCTGTGCAACCCGCTTTAGGTGACCCTGCCTGAGCAGCAGAATTGGACAAGATGACTTCCAGAGTCGCTTCCAAAGATACGCAAACTGCTCAAAAGTAAATGCAAGAATGCAGAAACAAAACCAGGTGAGTTCGGATGGTGCAGAAGTTACCATGAGGTTGGTGTATACCTTCAAATATATCTTAATGGTGCAAACATATACTTTGAAATATTTTAAGAGGACTGAAGTGTTGCCGAACATCAACGCTTCATGCTCGTTATCCCACAATTTTAGAGAACTTCCAGGAATTGAATCACTACTTTGTTTGTAGCCTGTATCTCTAACCTATAAGCCTTCCTTCCAACCCCCAAAAATACAGGTCTCACTTTTTGCAGATCTAATTGCTGGCAGGCCCTCTGGCTTTTTCGGAGGTCTCCTTCCATCTTACGTTCTTCTTGCTTGTTTTTGAATCTTATTCTGTTAAGAAAAAGTAAGTAACTAAAATAAGCAGGTAGACAAACAGTGGGATGCATTAAGTCGATAGGTTTTCTAAAATAGAAAATGTAAGATTCCAGCTCTACTAATTCGCTCAGACCAGGAGAACATTGACCTTAAGTCCTCCTGACATTGTTTCTGTGGAAGCACACATGTATTTCTAAGGAATTATACCTCTAAGAGTGCTTTTTTGATCACACTAGACTGAACACTGTTTCTTCATCAGGTTTTCATAAGACATGAAAAAAGCAGTTCACTAAACATCTGCAAAAGATACAGCCTTCCCTAGGCTTTCCTTCTCCATATGTAACAAGGAAATCAACAGAAAGTAAAACCAATAAAACCTATACAAATTTACCCTGAGATTTAAAACCACTGTAGCAACATTTCTCAGGATTATCTGTGGATTTTATATTAAAAAAAGATTACACTGTTCTCTGATTTAAAAAATTGCAAATGACTTGAGGAAAGTTAGTCTGCATATTGTTTGCATTCTTAACATTTACGAACATAAATGATGCAGCACACACTTTTAGCATTACCATGTTCATGTGCTTTTGCTTTAGAATTGAGAAACAATTACTCTCTATTTCAATTCTTACCTCTTACTCAAAACATTCAAAACCAGTAACATGTTAAAAGAATAACCAAACTTAAAGCATAGAAAGTACCTGAACTGATCTGCAGCTTGTTCATTTGCTTGCTTTTTCATATGGAGTTTTTGTCTATAGTTTTCTAGTTTTTCTTCAGCTTTTCGCTTTTTTAATTCCTCGTGACCAAGCCCACTTCTGCCTATGTAAGTTCGAAAGATGGATGTAAGCAGTTGAGAAGCTCTGATACTCAACTAAGTAAATAAAGAAGTATCACAAACCTGTTTTTATGTTCAGAGGAATAGGTTCAACAATGCCCTCTCCTGTGAGGGAAAAAATAGGTCAATTTAAGAAATCAGGTCTTTCTCAAACTATGATTTGTGCGCTATGTTCAAGTAGGCAAGCTGATTTGGCCTTTAAATATGAATACATTTTCTTGTGATTTTGCTGCTTGGAAGTTGAAAAATCCCAGATCAATGTACATTTAGTGTATTGCAAATGACCCAGCTGAACTGGAACTCCCTTTCTTTTTTGGCTTGTCTGCTGGATTGCTATGTATTTTTTTCAGGATGCTACCCAACCCAACCTGTGATGAAGACTGCTTCGTTACAGCCTTCTTTAGCATTTTTCATTCCAGTATCTTACACCTTGGCAAAGATGAAGAATAAAAAAAATGTCTGTCTGGACTAGTTCATTTGCTGATTGTCTACTAGAGACATGCTGAACTGGCTCAGCAGTTACTGATACTTTGTTTTACAGATTTTACCTCATCTATCAAGGTTTCATAAGGGTAGGCTAGTATGGACCATTTCTTCTTCAGAATCCAACTATAAATTCAAACAGAGGGACTGACTTATTTTTGGAACACTATTAGCTTTGCAAGACCATCAAAACAGCCTTAATGCAAGTCTTGTAGGCATGCACATATGGAAGTGCATTTACTGAGCAGGAGGTACTGATGCTTCCCTTGCATCTCGCGATACTCTGCACCATTTTTATTTGTTTTTAGAGATTTGATCTCATCTTTTGTTCTGCCACAACACATTCACAGTTCAGTAACGCTTGGGCTCTCAGAGAAGCGTTTATTGATTCTGTCTACGACTGAAGTGGCAGCGAGAGTCTGTAAAATATAAAGGTACCCCCGAACACAGGCAGATGCTTCCAGATTGTGACAAACTTACCGCTTTTGCCAAGGGCCTGGCCGCTCTTGTAGCCCATCTTCTGGAGCAAGGCAAAGCCTTTGTTCTCATTCCCCAATGCACTTTTCAATACCAAGTCACGTCTCTCTTTTTCTTCTTCTTTTATACTCTTCTGTCTGTTCTTCTCATTGGCTTCTTTTTGCTTTTCTTCTTTCTGAATAGCTTCCTTCATCCGCCTCACCATGGGCAAGCCTGGCCTTACATCCTGTCTAAGAGTTAATAATTCCAGCGAGTATTAACAAATTTTCTTTACATGCTTACGATCACTTAAGAGGGAAAAAAAAAAAAAGAGCCACCTACTTAATAAATAAATCAGACATGTAGTCTTCCTCTTCATCTTCCTCCATGTTTAGTACGCATGCCCTGGTCTGACCCCTTTCCTATAAACACCGTCAACACGCTTGATCACGGATTTTATTTCTCCCGCGGGTTACCTGAAATGCAGAACCCGCTTTCAAACGGAGGAACACTTGCCGCTCACGCTCTGCCGCGCTCGGGACGGGGCTGACGGACGAAAACCCGTGAACCGGCCGGGCCGGGCCGCTCCCTCCCTCTCCGGGACACCCGCGCCAGGCTTCACGCCCACAGCGCGTTTATTTTTTTCCGGGCTCCGCCGCCAGCGGCCGCGACGCCCCCAGCGCGCGGAGCCTTCGCCCACAGCCGGGCGCGGGGCGGCCGCGAGGACCCGCGCGCTCACCCGGCCCGCCCCGGCCCGCTCGCGGCGCCTGCGCGCGACCACCCCTGCCCGGCGCCTGCGCGCCTCCCGCTTCCTGCTGCGCGGCCGCGGCTGCCTCCGCGCCGCCGAGGTGGGTCGGGGCCGGCGCTGGCCACGGGGGGTAAAGCCGCTCGTGTCCGCGCTCCCTTCCGCTTCCCTCCCCCGCCAGCCGGACCGGGGCACGGCGGGGGTTGGACGCAGCCAAGCCCGCCGGTGATGGCCCCGCGGGGGAGGGGGAGGGGGGCGCCTTGCTGCGTGGGGCGGGTGAGGGGGACCGTGCCCACGCGTGTCCGTGACCCATCTCCCGCCCCTCCCGGGGCGACGCGGCAGCGTTGTCACGCCTCGCGCAGCGCGGGAGTTCGGAGGACGCGGCCGCCCCACGGGAGGAGCGTAACGCGCGCGCGCCGCGGCCGGTAACGGCGGCGGGCGAGCGGAGTCGGCCCGGCCCGGGGGGTGTTCGGCTCGGCTCGGCTCGGCTCGGCTCGGCTCGGCTCGGCTCGGCTCGGCGCCGCTGCCCCCGGCCGCCCCTAGAGGAGAGGCGCCGGCGTTTGCCCGCGTGGGGGGGGCGGGTGTGCCCGTGGGCAGGCGGGAGGCTTCTGGCTGCTTTTTAGCGTTATTCCTTCGCTGGGGAATTGGTGGACGGCTAGCGCTGTAATGCGGTCTTGAAGCGTTTCTCGGGAGACTTGTAAACGAGGTAAGGTGTGTGGGGAGGGGTGCTGCAGCTTGCTAACCCGTACAGGTGGAAGGACCCAGGCACAAAAGCCGTTTCGCCTGATGCAGGTTTTCAGGAGGATGTCACCTTTCCCAGACTTGCCCGTTTTTCAGCTTTCTTAGCTTGTCCACTGAAGTGCCAGCGTGATGAGGATCTAAACAGTTGATTTAGGCTACAGAGAAATAGCTGGAGAATAGAAAGGAGCTGTAGCGCATCCAAACATTTTATAATCTCTGTAATGCTTCAGAATAACTTACTGGGTGCTAATTGACTTAAGTAGACTTTTGCTTTGCATCCTGTGGGAGATAACAGTGCATTTATTACTTATAAGATGCGTAGTAAGACCCAGCCCTCACCAGAATCAGTAGAACTTGGTAGGCATTTTTCACTGAATTCTGGAGCAAACCTTTGGCCAGTGTAGGTGAGTTTTGGATTGCTTACTTGCATAGCTGTGTGTTTGACTCTTGAGTCTTCAAGTAGCTGAATATTCATGCTATTGTTCTTGTATCTGATCCCCTGCACTTCAGTGGCACAGCTGAATGTATGTGTAAATCTGGTTGCTCAGAACTTGAGTTTCCTAAATTTACGTGAAGAGGTAAGGGAGTGTGTAGAAGGTGTACAAGGGATTCGTGGCTCAGAAGGCCGGGGCAAAATTAAAACTTACCTGGGGAGGAAAATGAGTAATGAGCTGTGCTGTCATACAGTACTCCTGTGCTGTGCGGGTGTGATGAGCAGTATAGATCTCTGGGGTGATACCCAAAGAATCATAGTGTCATCATTCATTGCGGTTATCTGCTCTCATGGAAAGGTGTTTTGAGGTGATGTGTCTGTGCTTTACTGACAGGCAATATTTCCTCAATTCTTTATAACTTTAAACAAACAAAAAAAAAAAGCCAGAAGGTGTTTTTGGAGGTGTCATGGAAGGGCTGTACGTGCTTCCGTACGTGGCTCTTCCACCTTTGCTGATCTGTTGCTGGAGATGTATGCAGTGAAAAATATTATAATGCAAAGTACCAAGGGGCAGGGAACAAGCTTAGTATTACAGACGTTGTGATGCTTTACTTTCATCAACACCAAATCATTAAGGTGAATTTAGAAACATAATACAGTTGTAATATTAAAATATCACCCTTTACTACTGATTGATCTGGGGAGTGTTTTAAAAACCCCATAAATTATGTAATTTAAATCACTTCATTTAACTTTAAGAATTTATTGGGTTTGGCCATGAATGAGGAAGCAGCTGTGAGCACTTGAGAGCACAAGTGGAATGGTGCAGCTGTCAAAAGATGATGTCTTACATAATACTCCTTAGTTGCTTTGCTTTTTCTGTTTTGCCTGAGGTCCTGGTTTCAGCATCACTGCATTCAGGTTGTGGGGTTGGGGTTTTTTGCTTTTTGAGTTGTTTTTTGCTGAAGATGGTTGACCTAATTTTGTGATTTTTAGATAAGTTTTGGGGTTTTTTTCTATCTGTTCTGCATTAAACAACTACACTTTGTGTAAATGTGGTTTGCTAAGGTTAAGTTGTCCGCAGAGTGTTTGCTTATGCTGATAATGTGCTTTTGGTAGTGCTTTGTTGCTACCACCCGGTCACTGTTTGAGCAGGATCTGTAGTACTTTGCCTGTTGGGGAGACTTGCAGGCATTTGGCTGCTGCTTGCATTCCAGGCATGTTGGGTTTCAGAGGGCTTGTTTGTCCAGCACTTAAAGCAAGGCTAGTGGGATCTGGGAAATCTTAGGTCAGTGATGTCAAACACTGTCACTGTTCCTGCCTCTAAAATTTGTGATGGGTGGAAATTCCTATTTGTCATAGTCACATCTCCTTCTCAGCTGTTCTGTTGAAGGTGTTGAGAAGGTGGCCAGGTTCATGCCCAGGTTTTGGGAGTGTGGACAAGAGCCTTGATTAAGGATAATACTTTCTCTTTTTATGTAAGAGGAGACGGTGAGGACAATGAGATAACTCCTTTACCTCTTTTGTGTATTTTTTTTTTTTTTTTTTAAACAGGGACTTCTGTATGTTTTCCTTGTCTAAGAGTTAGCACCCTTAATTGCCTGTATGTGCTATTTTTACAATAACAACTCGGTTCCTTGAAAACTAATGGATATGCTCAGATGTAAATATGTGAGTAGTTTTTATGGCACTGCTCAGCTAAGACAAGTCTGAGCAGGCTGCAACCATGATACTGTAATCAGTAGATTTCATCTTCATATTTTCATTTGCTTTTCAAAGTCTTTACTGCTGTGCTATATACTAATATTTACATTTTTATTTTAGAGTTGCTACACAAATTTACGATAAAACCAGAATTTAACCAGTTATGGAGCTGGCTCATAGTTTGTTACTGAATGAGGAAGCATTAGCTCAAATCACAGAAGCAAAGAGACCAGTCTTTATCTTTGAGTGGTTAAGATTTTTGGATAAAGTGCTCATAGCTGCTAACAAGGTAATTTAATGTTACATTTTTGTTTTGTTTTGTTTTTTTCTTCTTTCTGTAACATTTGTATTATTTTCATGCTAGAGAAAGTTGACAACTAATGGCCAGGTGATAACTGTATGATTTCAGATTCAGCTTGAAGAGCCTCTGTATTACTCTGTAGCTTTTAGGTGTTTAATTGTAGGCAGTCAGTATGACTGTTATATAACACATAGTGTGGTTTGAGTTCTTCATTGCTGTAAATATTTGGAAGGCAAAACCTTCCCTCCCAGAGTAGGGATTCTTGATGGTAAAGAGGATTAAAAGATGTTCTAGGCAGATGTTACTGTGTTGTTAGTATTTTTTAAAAAGTAAAAATTGGTTATAGTTAGGGTAACAGCTAATTCTGAGCATTTAGCATCTATCTCTGTTGTTATTGAATGTATCTTAAATCTCCATGGGACAAGCAATTTGCTGAATTACATACAAGAGAGAGTGGTATAAGATTTACTTCAATCTCATATAGGTTTTTCTGGGTGTTGAAGGCAAGACAGAGGATTAAATGACTTATTTTATTTATTTTTGGTCCATTAACAGACAGATGTCAAGGAAAAACAGAAGAAACTTGTAGAACAGCTAACAGGACTCATCAGCAGTTCCCCTGGGCCACCTACACGAAAACTACTAGCCAAAAATCTTGCTGCTCTCTACAGCATTGGAGACACGTTTACTGTTTTTCAGACACTTGACAAGTGTAATGACATCATCAAGAGCAAAGACGATACTGCAGCCTACCTGCCCACAAAACTGTATGTTTAATATTACTGGGGAAAGGGGAATGATTTTTAAGCAAAGTGGTCCTGGATATTACAGAAGAATCTGCCTGTATATGTGCACATTACATTTACTTATATTTTGCACACTTATTCGGAGTTCACATATGCTTGATACAGCAGAGAAAAGAGCAGGATTTTGATTATGGAGGGCAGGACTCAGAGGTGACACATACATGGCTATCTGCAACCGGGATGCTTTCTTCTAGGCAAGGGACTATCTTATGTTTCTTCACATGCTTATGTCATGGAAAGGGTAACAGTTGATGAAATAATGTAGTGAAGAAATGCTAGCAGTGGGATTTGCCGATTGCGCTCGGGTACCTCATTTAAGATTGAACCTGCAGATTTTCAAGCAAGAGCATTATCTAAGGGCAGAGAATTGTAACCAAGTTTTTCCCCCCATCAAATGTTATCTGTTTATATTACCCTACTGTGTTATACCATACAAGTCTCTCAAACAGGGTCTGTATACTTGGATGTATGTATGCATGTATATGTGATCCAGTTTGTTTTTACTTGTAGGAGCAATCTCACCGGTAGGAATTTGGTTAATACCACAAACAGCTTCTGCTGGAACTGTTTTTAGTACTTTTCCACATGTACTACTTCATATGTTCACAGTGTCTAGTGAACCCCAATTTGGGCTTGCCTTCAGACATAATCATGATAGGATTTAACAATAAAATCTGAAATAGTCACCATTTGGGCAGATACTGTCCTCCTTTTATTTGAAGCTGTTGCAACTCCGTGAAGAACTTGTATAAGTGGGAAGCGTTTTGTGCTATAACAGGCTATGAAGCTTATGTTACCCACTCAAGCAGTAGTCCAGAAGGTTTTTTTCTATATGATTTCAAACTTCAGTTTCTGATATTTGTGTGGGAGACATGCCCGCTAAGGGGTAGGCTGTAATGAGTTTGTAACAGATTTCCTAAAAAGTCATTTATCTGAGAATTTTAAGTTTTTTTAAAAAAAGCCTTAATCCTTTGTGATAAAAAAATGCATGCTCTCAGGAGCT